AAAAAAAAAATAAAATAAATGGCAAAACTTACCAAAGATCCAAGTCAAGTCTACTTGCCCGTATTTCACTTCCAACACCAAAGATCCAAGTCAAGTCTACTTGCCCGTATTTCACTTCCAACAGCTTTCAAACGAAGAAAAACAAAGGTTATTTCAAGTTATCAAAAAAAAAAAAAAAAAGCTAATACTTTCCTGATGACCAGTCCTGGAACTATTCGCCTCTTTCAAAACTAAAAAAAAAGTTTCAGTAACTAAAAAGAAAAAAAAAGTTCTAAAAACCAGCTCCCATTCACAAACTAAAATTACTTAGCAAACCATTTTTGAAATACCTAACTTACCCGTTATTAAAATCTCCAACCCACCCGCTGTTGAAATTTTTAACACACCCACTGTTGAAGTTGCTGATAAAATTAATTTCACCGAATTTCCCAATTCGATACCCATTTCACCATTAGTGGTGAAATTATCTCGCTACTAGTTTGAAGCTACCAACCCACCCGCTGTTGAGATTATTAACCCACCTGCTGTTGAAACTACTAACTACTACAGCGTTCTAAAACACGCAATTACACCAAAAATAAAAAAAAAGATTTAAAGAAAACAATAAAAAAAAAAACTGAAAAAGGAAAAAAAGCCAAAGAACTACCTACTCACCATAATTAACCTAGCAATAAATAGTGACAACTCTGAACGGCTCCAACCACGATCTAAAAAAAAAAGAAATGTTACTTAAAAAAAAAATCTTAAAACGATCGAAAAAAATACTTATCGAAAAATAAGGCAAAATCTATAAAAGAAAGAAATGGTACGTAGTTACGAAAAAAAAATCTAGAATAGTTACCCGGGTTTTTACATTAGCCAATCAGGCGAATGTTACAATGCTACGTAAAATTTTTGATTTGTATTGTTGTTACACAAATATACAAATTTAGATACGTGGTGTTACAGATGGAAAATACCATAACTACATTTTTGATATTTTTATTATAACTGCATCAAAAATGTAATTTCGGTCATCACAGAGCGTAGAAGTATGAGTCCATTGCTTCGCTCCGGCCAATAATACAATTTTAACTACATGGCCTCACCTTTCTTTACCTTTAACTAATTCCTTTGTTAATACAACTTATTTTATCTCTCCATCCTTCTCTTTAAGTTCCTTTTCTCTAAACCAAATACACTTTTCTTCTAATAACTATTTCTATCTCATTAGACTTCTCTCTCTACAACTTCAATATTTAAAATAAACTCTGATCATACAGGTTTTTCACTTCTTACACCTATCTCC